TTTTTTTTGAAACAAATACTTTTTTTTCTTACAGTGAAATCAATTACAATTGAAGTAGCAAATAATTTTTCATTTTCAAACTCTGAAATGTATGAGAAGGGATTTCGGATTTTCTATTGGAAAGATTACTTTTATTCGTGTAGCTCAAAATTTGCTAGAGAAGTGTCATTTCCTAGCTATATAAATTGAACCTTGGTTATTAGATCCTGTTCAGGCTAGCCAATTGATCTAGAAAACCTGTAATTTAAAACTTCATTCTGACCGGGTTTTAATTTATATTTTGTTAATATTCTCAATTGACTCAACTAATTTCATGTGTAATTGAAAAAATATGAACAATTATTGGATTGGATTGATGATAAAATCAACTCCTTGGTCATAAACGATGACTCGATTAATAATTTTAAAAAAGAATTTTTTATTTAATTCTTCACTTTGATGTTATAAAAAAGAATTTATTAAATTTTATTGAGTCTAAACTTTAGTAATTATTTATTAAAGAATAATTTTGGTTATCAAATAATTAAATAATCGAGAGCAATTTACTTATGATACTTATGATAATTATTTATTAAAGAATAATTCTAGTTATCAAATCATATTATGAAATCTTATCTAATAACTTAAGTTATTGGATTGATATGATTGCTTGACATGATATCAAAGTTTTGATGATCAAGCGATCATGAATTTAAATCTCATCACCCTTATTTATTTGATAAAAATTAAGCACATGTAATGTGAGTATGTATAAGTTTTAAATCCAAAGGGTTTTCATTTGAGGAGATGTGTTAGAGAATAATATAAATCATATTCTGGAACCTCATCTAATAACTTAAGCTATTGGGTTGGGATGATTATTTACATGATATCAAAGTTTGATAACCAATCATTCAAGAGCTCGAATCTTACTATCCCCTTTTATTTGATTAAAAAAATCAAACATGGGGTAATATGAGTTTGTGTAAATTTCAATCTTAAAAGACTTTCACTTAGAGGGTGTGTTAAAAAATAATATAAAATAATATTTTAAAATTTTACCTAATAGTTTAAAATAATGGATTGAAATGATTTTTTAACAGATATGAAAGGTGTATGCCAAGCTCTTACTATCTAATAACATGGTGAAAAACTCAAAATGACATGGAGGGGTGCATGTTAAGCTATTACTATCCAACAATGTGGTGAAAAACTCAAAATGACATGGAGGGGTGCATGTTAAGCTCTTACTATCCAACAATGTGGTGAAAAACTCAAAATGACATGGAGGGGTGCATGTTAAGCTCTTACTATCCAACAATGTGGTGAAAAACTCAAAATGACATGGAGAGGATAGAAAACCAGGAGAGAGTTAGGTATTTCAAATCAAATGGAAGCGAGAGATCAGCAAGTCCTTGTCACAACGAGTTCCTGAGTTTCGATTCTTTTGTGTGCTTATGTTGTGGAAGGAGAGAAGAAACAAAAAACTTGGAGAAAAAGGGAGTTAGTGTGCCTGGTCAGATCCATGAACGCAACCTGCAATTCGATACTCACACCCCCTTTTCAGTGTTAAAAGCATATTATTGCTAATCCTACGCAATGAGCGCAAACCACTGGGAATTACCAACACTTAGTTAATATTGTAATGTGTATGGAATCAGCTTGCTTGGCCTTGTCTTTTGTCAAAGAAGAATTATGAATAAAGGATTGTTACAGTGGAATCTTAACTAGGCTAAGAGTTCTTCCATAGAATTGACAGCACAAGCTAGCAGGTACAAGTTCCCTCATGTGCTGTACTGTGACATTATCAAAACTGGATTCCTTTTAGATTAGCTTTCTTCCTCCTCTCCATTATTATGTATAGAATATGGCCATTAAATTCGAGGGAGATTCACTTTGTGATCAGATCTTGTTGTTTTATACGAACAAAGAGATTCCTTAATTGATAGTTATGAATAGGTGAAAATGTTGTAGTGGAAAATTGAAGGAAGACACCAAGTTTTAATTAGATGCTAGCCAACCCAAGAAACATTTCTTTACATTAAAAATCATCTTCAAGTGTTCTTACAAGCAAGCAAGAAAGGACCATTTAAACATCACTTTCTCTAACCATACTAGCATATATAAATTCAAAACAAATCAAACGTTGAAACCATACTTGCTAGCATATATTTCGAGGAATCTAATGACGTGTCTTTTTTTTTTTTGTTTTCAACATGACAAGATTAATGTCATAATATTTAAAAAATTATTGATAAAAAATATTTATTTTATCGTTGTTATTTTCATGAGAGATTGTGATAAAATATTTTTCATCGTTGTTTTCATGGTTTTTCAGGTTTATGCAAACTATTCACAAAATATCCATCAAACCTCATAAAAATCATTCCTCTTCTTAACTATTTAATTGGAATATGCAATTAAAATTGTATTTTAGCTACTCGATCAACATGAAGCAGCCTTCTTTGGATGCACTATAGCTTTTTTATATTTTTTTTAGATTATTTTGATGTGTTTATACTAAAAATAAATTAAATATTATTTTAATATATTTTTAAGTAAAAAAAACTTTAAAACACGATATTTATTATACTCCCAAATAGTCACCGAGTATTTAAAAGAAAAGAAAAAACAAATTAAGTTGATTATCTCCCTAAATGGGGTGGTCCTACACATAGTTAAGAAACAGTAAGAAGGATACGAAGAATTATGTGGAGAATCGTTGTCATCACATGATGATGGACACTCGACGCAAGTGATTTCTGGTGTAGATTACATTATTTCAAGTGGGTTTATCCATCAATTTGATGAAAATGACTTCCACTACGCACAATGTCATGGTGTTTCCTACTTGGCCATCACGAAAGAAAGTTTGGGATTCTCTCTTTTGTTTTTGATAATGGGAAAGGACTCTGGCTGGGGAGGAACGAGATCTCTCATCAGAGACTTGGGTTTCTCTTGAATCAAGCTCGGAATCCCTCCATTGGAGAATGAAATATATGCAGTAACCCCTTTCTACTTCAGCTGGCTAGCTAGCTTCATGTGGTAAGAATAAAATCACAAGTTGACTTGTTAGTATTATGCGGCAAAGAATCTGTGATACAACGTACAGCCATTTCATGACATTACATCTATGGAATATGGAATATTGAAAGAATACATTGATATTTCTTCTTTCTTGTTTTAATTAGCAAGAATCTGTGTCTCGTTCCTTCATCAGTACGTGATACATGTGTTTTAGGTAGGGCTAAAACCTATCTTCATGTACACATAAGAGCTCGGTTCCATTGTATCTTCCTCGACAAGGAGTTTTTTTTTTTTTTTTTGGATGAAAAGTTGTCTTTTAAAGATCAAACCCAGAAGGAGATAAATCAAAAGAAGGGAAGGATTTCCAAAGTCAAATTGTTGGTCCACTAAATTACTCTTTGCACATGTGAGGAAATCACAAGGTAAAATTGTCTTGGAGAGAGTTTGAGCTAAAAAACAAATACTCTCTTAAGAAGCCTAATTTTACATTATTGATAATTATCAATTTAATTTATAGCGTAACGAAGGTAATATTACTTCTCTATCCTACTAACTACTAAATTTAATCCTCTTAATTAATATGTGATTTGATTATAATTCTAGAGTTCTATCTAGGTAAAAAAATAAAAATAAAATTGTGTGCCTTACAATTAATTCCTCCTGTAGCACACTCAAGAAAATTTATATATGAAATAAATTACCTTGATTTTTGTTTTTTTAGTATTGCAGTAATTTTTGTTTTTGAGTGCATATAAAAAATGTATTTTATTTAAAAAATATCAAAATAATATATTTTTAGTGTTTTATTATGAAATTAATGTGTTAATGTAAATAATATAAAATTAATAATTATTATTTTGATATTTTTGAAGATGAAAAATATTCTATATCTCAATATCAAACACTCATTTAATTATATATATATATATATAAAAACAGAAATATATTATTGCAGCATTACAAGCTATTTTTTAAGATGCTTTTCAACTTACTTTGCTTGAAAAAGAATTAAATTTATGTCGTTTAAGGTGTTTATTGACATATACGGATGTTGATATGCTAATATTAAAAATAAAAATATTAAATAAATATTATTCTAATATATTTTTAATTAAAAATTACTTTACACTAACTATACTAAAAACAGATCGAGACTTGTGATGCCCACTGGGGAGGCAAACACCAATAAATAGCGATACATAGGTCCCAGGAGGCAACCTCCACTAGCTGGCTGGCCACTTTATCTAACATTAACATTTTGATCAAGAACCCTCGTTTCCATTTCCATAGAATGGAATCTGTGGTAGTGATTTTCTTGTCAGCAACCACAATATCCTTCCACTCTAATGCTAGGAAATTGGAGAAATTTGAAACTAAAGCAATATTGATAGATCAAAGATCTTTAATTATACTTTTTAATGGTGTCCAAATTGTATCTGATCACCATGGCATCATCAAGACATGAGATCCTATGCTTTCTTTCATGTGGAATCAGATGCAAAAACATGGCTGCAATTAAGATTCTGAGGACATGTAGCCAGCCAAGTACTGATCAACTAGCTAGCCCTCCATGAATTAATACGTATAAGTCAACCACTGGTTTTCCTTCTTTAGTAGTGGTATCTACATCAGATGTCTGCAACTCTGCCACGTTTAAATCATACCAGTATCAGAAATTTATGATCATCAGTGAGACACGGTGACAAGATCTTTGTAACAGAGATTTAGTTTGTGATTCATGGAAAAGTGTATGATTCGAGAAACGGTGGATGGAAGTTTTTTTTTTTTTTTTTTTTTTTTTTTTTTTGGGTGGGGCTGGAATTTT